CCTCCCAAACCCATGTGAAAATGAAATTAAAATGTCTCCAGACATTGCCTAGTGCCCCCTGTGGGGGAGGGGGATCACCCCTGGTTGATAAGTATCATTGATCCAGTTTGAGAGGGTAAGTTAAGACCATATTTTGATGGGCAATCAAGTCTGGACCTAACCCTCTAGAGAAGTTTTGTTTTGTTTTTAAATCCTCACCTGAGGATATTTTTCCTTTATCTTCAGATAGACGGAGAGAGAAACATCGATGTGAGAGAGACACATCGACTGGTTGCCTCCCACACAACCCTGGCCAGAGCTGGGAACCAAGGTATGCGCCCTTGATTGGAATCGAATCCGTGACTCTTTGGTCTGCAGGTTGATGCTCTAACTGCTGAGCCAAACCAGCCAGAGCTAAAGAAGATTTTGTGAGCAGGAGCTGACCTGTAACAAAGTAGGGCTAAGGCCCCACCCCCTTCACTAAGGTGGAAACAATGAACTCTGGAGTTTAGAGACTTGGGTTTGCTTTTTTTGTTTTTTGAATTATTTTAAAAATATACATAAAATTATACATATACCATATATGATTTTACATGTGTGCATTAATATGATTGTAGCATGTATATTGTTTTTGTTTTAATGAAGCCTTCCACTGCCTTCTTTTTTTTTATCCTCACCCGAGGACATTTTTGCATATATCTTCAGATAGAGCGGGAGGGAGAGAGGGAAGAAGAGAGAGAGAGAAACATTGATGTGAGAGAGACACATTGACTGGTTGCCACCCACACGACCCCAACCAGGGCCGGGGACAAACTGCAACTAAGGTACGTACCCCGAGTGGCAACCGAACCTGGGTCTCTCTGGACCACAGGCCGACGCTCTAACCACTGAGCAAAAGTGGCCAGGGCTTCCCCCTCTGTTTTTTGCTTCCCCTCTACTTCCCTTCCCACACCTTCACCCACATCACCCCTGCTGTTCAAATAATCCATGTTGACAATTTACTCTGCTTTATTCCATTTTTTATCCATGCTTAGTATAATAGACATACATATATAGCCATAGCCATTTTTTAAATTTTTTTTTTTTGTTTTTTTATTGATTTTTTTAAAGAGAGAGGAAGGGAGAGAGGAACATCAATCAGCTGCCTCCTGCAGGCCCCCTACTGGGTATCGAGCCTGCAACCTTAGCATGTGCCCAGACTGGGAATCGAACCAGGACCTCTCAGTCTATGGGACGACACTCAGTCCACTGAGCCACATCGGCCGGGCTGGCCATTATTAAGTGTTGACAGTATTAAAGATGTCCCCCATTTCCTCCCTTTCCCCTCCTCCACCTAGTCCCCATAGCCATTTTATATCTACATATATAACACAAAGAACATTGAAAATGGGATTATATTACAGATTCTTTTCTGCCTCAAGGAAATTCTTCCAAGTTACTTGGCAGAGCTCCAGTTCATTGTGTTTAATGGTTACATGGCGTTCCACAGTGTGGCCCTGCCGTCGTTGTCCCAACCATTCCGCCTTTATGGGCACATTTTATTTATAGTATTTTTTCCCTATGAACAACATTGCAATAAATGTCTCTGCAAGTATATTCTTAATAGTGATTTTATTTCTACGGGATAGAGTTCCAGACACAAGATTACTGAGTAAAGAAGTATTTTAAATTTTACTAAATATTGTTAGATTGCTTTCTAAAAAAGCTGTGATAATTCACATTTCCACCAGTAATATATGACAAGACCTGTGTCTTTGCTAGCAATTGGTATTATTAATCTTTTTAATATTTGCTCATCTAATGTGCATAAAATTATTTCATCTTTCTTTGCTTGTCAGTAAGTGTGAGCACTTTCTTATGTTCACTTGGGATTCTTCACTCTGGGATGCTTATTTATGGATGTAGCCTATTTTTTTATAAGGTTTTGTTAATAATTTGTGACAGTTCTTTTTATCAAAATGTTAACCTTCTGTCTTTTAGGTTGAAGATCTTTTTTTACTTCTATTATTTGTTTCTTAACTTGGTTTATGGTTTCTCTTGCCACAGTAAGATTTTACATTTTTATATAGTCAAATATGTCTCTCTTCTCTCTTACAGCTTCTGGGTTTCCAGTCTTGGTTAAGAAGGTCACCCCCACCCTCAGATTGTACATGTAGTCTCCTAGATTCTCTTTCAGGATTTGTATGGTTTTAATTTTTCTTTCATTTTTGTATATGGTATAAAATAGGCATCCACTTTTATTTTTTCTCAGCTAGATATTAATTATGCCAGCACCATATTAAATGTTCTATCTTTTCCCCCTGGAATTGAACTACCACCTTCATCATATATTCTCGTATGTAATAGTTTTTAAGACTTTAAAAAGACAAAAAGAGGGTTAGTAGCAGCATGTTACTTATTTTAGTCATCATCTTGTGTCCTGCCTGGTGACGGGGTTGACTCTCGAGGCTCTGTGAGCTCCCTTCACCTTGTCCCTCTTCCCTTTCAGGTGCCGCTAGCTGACGAGGGCACAGCCCCTCTGCCCACTGCAGGGCCAGGGACAGAGGAGAAACTCCTGCTTGGAGAAGGGCTGTCTTCTCTGCTTCCCGTTCAGTCCATCAAGGAGGAAGAAATCCAACCTGGGGAGGAAATGCCACACTTAGGGAGGCCCATCAAGGTGGAGAGCCCACCCCTGATAGAGTGGCCTTCCCCCTGCCCATCTGTCAAGGAGGAGCTGTCTCAGTCCTGGGAGGAGGACTCCCACTCCCCCACTCCAAGGCCCAAGAAGTCCTACAGTGGGCTCAGGTCCCCAGCCCGGTGTGTCTCTGAAATGCTCGTGATTAAACGAAGGGAGAGGAGGGAGATGAGCCGGTCTCGAAGGAAGCAGCACCTACTGCCTCCCTGCGTGGATGAGCCCGAGCTACTCTTCTCAGAGGGCCCCGGGACTTCAAGACGAGCCCCAGAGCTGGCTCTCCCCTCAGAGCCCTCTGCGCCTGCCCCCCAGTTTGGCTACTCCCAGGAGGAAGGGGGACCTTTTAAGACACCCATTAAAGAGACACTGCCCATCTCCTCCACCCCAAGCAAATCTGTCCTCCCCGTGACCCCTGAATCCTGGAGGCTTACACCCCCAGCCAAAGTCGGGGGGCTAGATTTCAGCCCAGTACGCACCCCCCAGGGTACCTTTGGCCCCCTACCCGATTCCCTGGCACTAACAGATCTCAATACCACCCCACTGAAAAGTATCCCCCTCTTTGACTCACCCCAAGAACTCCTCAATTCTGAGCCCTTTGACCTCAACTGTGACCCCTTCAACAGCGGCTCTCCCTCAGATATAGAAGTCCCCAAGCCAGGCTACCCCGAGCCACCGGTTGCCAGCCTTTTAGCCAACCGTTCCCTGACAGAAGGCCTGGTTCTGGACACAATGAATGACAGCTTGAGCAAGATTCTGCTGGACATCAGCTTCCCTGGCCTGGAGGAGGACCCCCTGGGCCCTGACAACATCAGCTGGGCTCAGTTCACTCCTGAGCTGCGGTAGAGACCTGACCTTGCCCTCGCTGCCCACGTCGCCCGCTCTCTGCAGCTGCGCGGCTGGGCCATCCAAGGCCTCTGAAGAAAGGGCAGCGAGCACTGTCTGCCCCTCCAGCCCCACCCTGCCTGGTCACGCCTAGGCAGGCGTCACGCCACATCACACTGGGCCCTCTGCAAGCATCGAGGCCCTGGCGACTGGACTCTGCCGCCCTGTGCTCCCCTCACTCCCTGCGAGAGCCGAAGGCTGGACATAGAAACAAGGATGGAAAGAGATTAGAACTCCCGAAACTTTTCATTCTGTGCCCAGCAGTTTCACCTCCCCTACTCCTGCAGGGTGTCCTTGTAAATAGTGTATATGCTCCAAATTATCTTCTAATTTTAAATGTAAGCTTATTTTCTTAGATCATTATCTACAGGCTATCAGAAGGTGGGTAGGATGACAGGGGTTCCAGTTTGCTTCTGTTCCTTGCTTTTAGTTCTAGAGAAGGGAGACCTGCAGTGCACGGTTTCCTCCAGGCCCAAGGCACCTGCCTCAAGGGCTCTTTACTGTAGGCACCAGACAAGCAGGTCTGCTTGCCAGGGCCCCTCTTATTGCCTCTCCCTCCCGCCTCCCCATATTTCCAAGAAGAAATCCTGGTAAAAACATCTCATAATGTGTCAAGAGTTGAACTGGGGGTGGGGGATGGATGCGTCAAGCAAAGAGTGTGGGTGCCCAGATGTGTGCCCATGTGATGTTTCTCTGATACTGCCCCTAATCATGCCAGAGAGACTAGCACTGATGAGAACGTGGCCCAAGGCTTGAGAAGGTAAAGGGCCCTGACCTGCCTGGCTCCCTTAGGTTGCACTGCAGCTTTGCAAAGAGCCACCCGAGGCCCCAGCTGGCCACGTGCATGGAGCCAGCTCGAGAACACTACTGTAACTACTCAATAAAATCCAGGGTGGAAGCGTTGGTCTCTGCGGTATGTTGGTGTTTGGTCCCCGAGGCATAAAGAGGGGTTGGACAAGAAACTGGGTGATGGTGAAGACGGGCGAGCAAGGCCTGAAGCCAACGTGAAGCACTTGGGAGTGCAAAGGGCTTAGGTGTGGATCACCTCCCACACAGGCACACAGCCTTTCGGACAGAGAAACTGACAGCTTTCCCAGCGCTGGCCCTGCACAGCCAGGCAAAGTAGCACATGGGGCAGACCTCCCAGAATATTAGGAAAGGATTAGCCCCGTTACAGGTGCCCTGTGACCACCTTTACCCCCAACCCAAGGCCTGGAAGCCAGCCTGCCCTGCTTTTCCCTCCAGGCTTTCCTAGGCAAGTCCCTCCCCAGAAGAGCTCCCATTACCATCCTTTGCAGTGAGAACTTGTCTCATCCTCTGTCTCAGCCAGGGCCCAAGGGACTGATGAGCTCTCCTCCCTATGGCACCACCCAGGAAACATCACCATAGCAACCCGGCAGCAAACAATGCTGCCAGTAAGGTCTTCCCTACAAAGCTGCCCCTCCTGGCAATCAAGCCCAGAAGAAGAATGGCCTGTAACCCAGGAAGATCAGCCAGAGGTCGGAGCAATCCAATTCCTGCCAGAGAACATTTCCTGCAGGTAGGGGCAGGGCTCCATCTCTGAGGCCTACCTTTCTGTACCCCACTGAGCTAGTGGCTGTTCCCCTGGGGTAAGTCATACTTTCTCCAGGGCAGTGGACCTCCCAGCCTGTGAACTCCCCGCTGTCCTCCTCTCTTAGTCCCGTGGTACTGTGAACACGGAGCTCAGAACAGGGACAGGAGATGCCTGGTTATTACATCTCCAACCCAGTGGGTTGGTCACATAGAAATGATTTAGGGGACCAGGCCCAAGAAACAGGTGGGTTTGAGAACCAGAAAAGACTTAGGAGTGGACCGGAGGGAGAGGCGTTTTCAAAGAACACAGTATCATGATTAGTGCACACAAATGGCCAAAATCCTAGCTCTGCTGCTCACTCACTTGGCACTCTGGGGGACTTATTTACTGTCTTGCTTTTAAAATGTGTGTGTGTGTGTGTGTGTGTGTGTGTGTGTGTGTTTATTGATTTTTTAGAGAGAGAGAGAGAAACATCCATGTAACAGACATCCATCGGCTGCCTCCTGCACACTCCCTACAGGGGATCGAGCCTGCAACCTTGACATGTACCCTGAACAGGAATCAAACCAGGACCTCTCAGTCCATGGGAGGACGCTCAATCCACTGAACCACACTGGCCAGGCTTTAACTGTCTTGCTTTTTGCATCTTTGAGATGAGGCCCATAACAACACCTGCTCAAAGGGTTGTGAAAATTAAATGAGATGTGAATAACTATTTAGCAAAGTGCCTACATATTTACTACTGTTTATTTCATGGGGGTTGGGGCACAGAAAAGGGAAGGGACGAACAGTCTAGATGCTTTCTATACTTGCCTGTATTTTAATGAGAATGGCGACGCACCAACGACAGGGAGATGAGTAACAGGAGACCAGTAACTGGACACCGTTCTCCAGGCTCCATCTCTGGAGAAAGGCTTCCCTCCTACCCTTGGCTTGGGAAGGGGCATTTCCCCTCAGGATTTCCTAGGCCTCGGGTGCCCCGTCAGGAGCTTGAGTTCCTCAGTGGGAATGTGGGAACACCAGAATGAAAAGGATGGGTAGAAGTAAGAAGTGAAAGGGAAAATTCAAGTTAAGGAAAGAAAGTGGGAAATAAAATTCCAAACCTGGTAAATGGAAAGAGGACGAAAGAGGAACAGTCCATGAGAATATCACAGAGCCATCATAACTGCTGGCAGGCAGGGCAGGAACAGCGACAGGGCCCCTCTGCCAGGCCATCAGGTCCTGAGGCGAGTCCTGGGTCCGGAGGAGGCTAGCAGCTTGTTTCCACTGGGGCGGCTCCTGGGCAGGGGCGGCAGAGTGCCCCCAGGCTCCCTTTGTCTCTCTCTAGATGATCCGGGCCGGTGAGCCCCTCCCGGACTGCTGCACGTGGGCTCAGCGTGAGTTTCTCCTCCCTGATGAGCCCTGGCAATTGCCTGGCTTCACCCCACAAGCCTACCATCAGCTGGCCCTGAAGCTGCCGCCCTGCACAGATATAAAGTCCAAGGTGCACCGCCAACTAGTACACCCTTGGAAGGATGAAGCTGAGCACACCTGGGGCTTTCACACGTGGCTTGACGTGGGGCGCTTGCCCGCCACCTTTCCCAGCAGGCCTGACAGACCCTATGACAGCAACGTCTGGCGCTGGCTGACGGACTCCAGGGCCCACTGCCGCCCCCCAGCAGAGCCCGGCATCCCCCCTCCCTCCTGGATGGGTCGAAACAGCCTTCTGACTTTCATCAGCTGCACTCCTATCTTCTTGGATGAGAACAGGAAGAAACAGGTGATTTTCAGGACAGTGAAGGAACTCGAGGAGGTGAAGAAGCTCAAGCTGAGGAGTGAAGCAAGGGCACCCCCACTGGACACCAATGGCAACATCCTGCCCCCAAAGAACTTCAAGAAGTAAGAGGCGACCACCTACCCGTGTTCAGGTGACCCCTTCCTCTCTGATTCCTGTTTCTGATATCTTATTGGTACTCGAACTCTCCCACCTCTGGTCATCTGAAAACTAAACTCTGTTTGCTCTGAATGTATCTGGAGGGAAGGGATGGAGGCAAGGGAAGGACACCCAGGACGGGTTCAGTTATTTAACTAAAAACTAGGAGATACAACTATATACTTAACACCCGCTCTGCTATAGGCCCTGGGGACACAGAGGACTGTCATTCAGTCCCTGCGCTCGAGGAGCTTGCGAAAGGCAGATACCTAGTGCGTGTGTGGAAAGACAGCCGCGCAAGCTCTCACTGCTAAGTGCTAAGTGTGAGGCGGAGCGTGGGTGTCGTAAGGCTGTCAGGTATTAATGGAAGGAGCTGAGAGCTGGGGTCAGAGGCTCAGATCGAAGTCCAGGCTGTGTCCCTTTGGCAAATTGCTTAGTTTTTCCAGATTCAATTCCGTCATCGATAAAGTGAGGTGGTAAATACCATCCCTATCTTAGCAGGTGAAGATAAAATGGGTTAACGAAGACGTGGAAGCACTAAACAAAAGACAGATGTTCTCACAGAACTTCCGAAGAGGGAGAGAAGGATCGCGGAGGGCTGGAGCATCCCACCAGGAAGCTTCAGGAGGAAATGAATGAGGCAGAGAGAAAGGGCTGGAGGGCTGACTAGTGTGAGCAGAGGCAGCAATTCGAAAGGAGCTATTCCAGAAGCCGGCAGCCCTGCCCCCCGTCGTGGGAACTCACAGATATTGCCATACTGGGTCCAGTCCAGGCACTGGACGTGAGTGGCAGGAAAGGGGGAGGGGAATACGGTTAGAATGTCTCAAATTCCGATCCCACGGCATTAACAGCATGGAGGGTTGGAGGGGGAGGCTGTGGAGATTTATAATCTTTTAAAAAAAAAAAAATGCCAACAGTTGGTGATTTTGAGAGAAGATTATTCAGGACCTTGGCTTCTCTCTACTGTCCCTGCAGTGGAGATTATTGATGGCTAATATGTGCCAATGCTGGGCAGACAATGTAGACTTAGCTCTCCCCTCAAAAAACGCCGTCAAGTGATTGTGCCAGATGTTCGGTGGTTCCTTTAAACGGCTCTGAAAGGGGTTAAAACACATTGTTAAAATGACTAGATCCAGGAGCGCACATTCTGAGCATGAGAGACCCAGAGGATTTCAGATGAGGTCTGAGCCTCAGGCACTGGTGGGCTTGCTGGGAAACAGACCATTTATGTGTGAACACAGCCACTTGCCACTCTCGTAGTACATTAGAATCACCTGGGCCTCTGTGGGCACCTGTTGAGGTTTGAGCCCCACTCAGGAGAGTCTAACTTACTTGGCCCGAGGATGGTTCTGCTCTGCAGCCAGGCCTGAGGGGCTCTGGCGTAAGCTGACGACAGCAAACGGGCTATCTGCCGAACCAGGCGAAGCATGTTGAGCCACAGGAAATGTGCCACTGTTCAATTGTGGTTTTTAAAAAGTCAGTTTCCCACTGTTGGATCTAATACTGCAGGCCTGTGGAGGAGGGGCCACCGGACCAGGCGTCGGGAGGTGAGAGCCGGAAGGGCTCTTGGGTGCCGTCAGGTTCGCCAGTGGCCAGAAGGGGCACGTGTGCTGCGCTGGCCCTTCCCCCGCAGGCCCCGCGCTAGTGCAGGGAGTGGACTTAAAGAAGAGTTAGGCTCTTGTTTGGCTCAGTGGTTAGAGTGTCGGCCCGAGAACCAAGGAGTCGAGGGTTTAATTTCGGTCAAGGGCCTGTGCCTTGGTTGCGGTTCGGCCCCCAGCCCCGAGGGAGGGAGGCAACTAATCAATGTGTCTCTCTCACATAGATCTCTCTCTCTCTTCCTCCCTCCCTCCTACTCTAGCTGAAGATAGATGGGAAAAATATCCTTGGGTGAGGATTAAAAAAAATAAAAAAGAATAGTTAGAATCTGGACAATGATATCACCTACATTATGTCAAAAGGATGGAAGACTGACCAGCTAAACACAGTTATTCCAACTTAATGCCAAACACACACACAGGGTAGAGGCCATTTGGAACAGATCTATATCCAATTAGAAAAAGAGATGGGGGCTTCCCCACAGCCTGATTGCTCATAGCCTGTGGAGGGCTGCATCGCGCTTCCTCCTTTCTCACCCCTCCCACCATGCCTGGTCTCCCCTTTGACCTCCCTGTCCTCTCCCCACCATCACCCCAACAGGTACCAACACGTCTCAGCCGGCGGAAGGTTTGAACCTCTCGGCCTCCAGCTTCTGCCCAACCCACTTCCCAATAATTTGGCCAGGAGCTGGCCCTGCCCGAACCCTCTGCCTCATTACCAGGAGAAGGTGCTGAAGCTGGCCTTGCTGCCCAGCGCGCCCCTGAGGCAGGACCTCGTGCAGAACTACCAAACCCTGATAAAGGACCGCATCGCCTTGCCCCTCCACCATCTGTCCAAGGCACAACCCAGCAAGATCTTTTTGAGGAAGAGAAAGAGAAGACCTGGACACCCCTAGAAAGCCTCCAGATGGTAGGGACCATGGTGGGCACACAGCCCCTAGGCTCTAGTGTTCTTGGCCAACGCACCTTAAGCAAGAAGCCTTTGGGGCGGCTGAAGGACTCCGGCGTCTGCAGAACCGAGCATCTCCACCATTTCCTTAACTTCGAGCCACATTTGTAGCCCAGGCTCCTCAAGACTCTAATGAAACTCATGTCTTCTCTAAAGAAATTGTCATGTCTTCCTTGAAGGGCTCTCTCGCAGCAAGTGGGAGGTCTGGGGTGGCAGGAAGAGCAGAGGCGGGCAGAATGGGGAGTGGGGAAGAAGAAGGTGTGTGGGGAAGAGTTGGGGAGCGGGGGGAGGCACTGTAGGAAATGTAAGAACTTACCTCCACTCCCACAGCCCACTAGAACAAGACTGGAAGCTTTTCAGGCAAAAATAACCTCAATTCCGCCCCTCCATGGACCATCTGGTGTCTGGACAAAGCCTGGAAGCATCTCTGCTGGGTGGCAGGTCCTCCACAGGGTTTGGGGGAACAAAGGTCAGGCTAAGGCTGGTGCTAGAGAGAGGATGGAAGAGTCAAGTCTGAGGAAGGCTGACGAGGTGTCCACAGGGCGACAGGAGTAGAACAAGGTAAAGGTCAGAGTGGTTCCCCCAGAGCTTATGGTAGGGCCTTGGGCTTTGTGCTGCAGTTGGCCCCATATTCCTCAGCTTTTACAGTGGGGTAGCAGGGACGAGGGGCCTAAAGTGGAAGCAGGAAAACCACATCGGTCAGAAAGGTGCTGTCCCAGGCTGGGTGGAGACTGGGGAGGGGAGGGGCTGCAAGGACCTGGTGGGGTGGTGTGGGGAGGCCGCTTGGAGGCTGCTGAAGAGAGAGCCATCTTGCCCTGGCTGGTTTGGCTGAGCGGTTAGAGCGTTGGCCTGCAGTCCAGAGAGACCCGGGTTCGGTTCCTGCTAAGGGCATGTACCTCGGTTGCAGTTTGTCCCCAGGCCTGGTTGGGTCATGCTGGTGGCAGCCACTCGATGTGTCCCTTTCACGTCGATGTTTCTCTCTCTCTCCCTCTCACCTCTTCTTGTCCCCACCACATCTCATGTTGGTGATCTTCCCCAGCTGGGCTGCTCTGGCCTTCTCTCCACTGTCACTTGGTCTTCATGTTTCTCAAGTCCTACAGACACCTGGGAATCAAAACCCCACCTGGGTTCTAGACCTGGTTAGCCAGCCATTAAGCAGCGAGGTGACATTTGGGAAGGCCGCTGTTCCCCTCAGGCTTTCAGTGTTTTCATGTACAACCTAGGAGTCACTAGGGTACAAATTAGCAGAATAAATAAAATCACAAAAGTGAAGTACCTGCAAAGTGTCTGACACATTGTAGACCCTCCACAAATAAAGCTATGACCATTATTCCTAGAATAAAAGTAATAAGTGGATGGAATATTACTCATCCATACAAAGGAATGAAGTACTAGCCCTCGCCAGTTAGCTCAGTTGGTTAGAGTGTTGTCCCGATACGCCAAGGTTGCGGGTTCAATCCCCGGTCAGGGCACATACAAAAATCAACCAAGGAATGCATAAATAAGTGGAACAACAAATCTCTCTCTCTCTCTCTCTCTCACCCCCCGCCCCCATTTCCCTTCCTGTTTCTCTAGACCAATCAATAAATTTTTAAAAAATGGAATGAAGTACTGATCCACGTTACGGTATAAATGAACCTTGAAAACCATGCTGCGTGCAAGAAGTCAGAAAAGGGCATCTGTTGTATGATTCCATTATATTAAATATGTAGACTATCCGCAGAGACAGAAGGTAAACTGATAGCTACCAGGTGCTGGGGGAGACGAGAATGGGGACTGACTGCTTCGTATGTCAGGGTTTGCCTTCGGTGTGATGCAAATATTTGGAACTAGATCGAAGTGGTGGTTACACAACATCATGCATGAATGAAATGCCACTGGAATGTGCACGTTAAAATGGTAAATTTGATGTGTATTTCATCTCAATTAAAAACAATTTTAGCCCTGGCTGGTTTGGCTCAGCGATGAGAGAGTCGGCCGGTGGACAAAGAGATGTGGGTTCAATTCTGGTCCAGGGTATGTACCCTGGTTGCAGTTCCATTCCTGGCCCTGGTCGGGGTCATGAAGGAGGCAACCAATTGATGTGTCTCTCACATCGATGTTTCTCTCTCTCTCTCTCCCTCCTACTCTATCTGAAAATCAATGGGAAAATACCCTCGGGTAAAAATTAAAAATAATAAGTTTAGCCCTGGATGGTTTGGCTCAGAGGTTAGAGTGTTGGCCCTTAGACAGAAGGTTTGCGGGTTTGATTCCGGTCAAGAGCACATACGTGGATTGCAGGTTCGATCTCCAGCCCCTGTCAGGGTCTTTCAGGAGGCAACCAATTGATGTGTCTCTCTCACATTGTTTCTATCCCCTTCCCTCCCTTCCACTCTCTCTAAAAAAAAATCAATGGAAGAATATCTTTGGGTGAGGATTTAAAAATAATAATGATGATAATAATAATAATTTTAGCTCTAGCCAGGTAGCTCAGTTGCTTAGAGCATCATCCCCATACCCCAAGGTTATGGGTTCAATGCCTGGTCAGTGCACATGACCAGGTTGTGGGCCAAATCCCCAGTGGGGGGCATGCAGGAGGCGGCCAATTTATGTTCTCTCTTATTGATGTTTCTCTCTCTCTCTCAAATCAATAAAATTTAATAAACAAAAATTTAAAATAATTATTTTAATAAATAGGGTGTGTGTAGAGAGTTTCCAAACTTCCTTATAGTTACAAATCTATACTTCTATTCCACAGTCCTTCTCTTTGCCACCTTTCTCCATGGTGTGTGCATGGGGGTGGGTGGAAAGGGGCCGGGGGGGGGGGGGAGAATTTCCTGAATACTCCTCTGGGAATATACTCATTCTTTCCACTTTGGATTAGGAATAGTGGTAGAAAGGAGGAGGTCCCTAAACCTAGGATTGCAACATGTTAGAGCTGGGTAGTCCATTAGAAAACAAGTCACACCCTCAGGGTTCAGAGGTAAACCAAGGCCATTGGGCAGTGACTTGCTTCGGGCCACAGACAGGAAGCCCCTGGCCTCGGGTGGTAGAAGGAGGCTCAGGGCCTGTGTGTCATCCCGCTTCTCAGGCTACTTGTGCATGATGCCAGGGTTTTGTCATTGCCACCGTGAGAGGCCAGAGGGATAGTCAGAGGGTTACTATAAAAACTTGACGGGTGGACTACAACATATCAGGGGCCATCCTGTCTAGCAGCCAGCCAGCATGCTGAAATTCCTGCATACCAGTGGGCCATGGAGATCTGGGGAAGAGATTAGCATCCATTCATGTCCTCCTGGGCCTGAGGCAGTTTGCAAGGCAATCCTTAGCTCAGCCTGCGGTGAACACCACCCTCCTGCCCCCACCTTCCACATTCCCTAATGAACAAGGAATTCTTGAAGGCCTTCGGTGGGGCGGAGTTGGGGATTCCTTAACCTGGGTCTACCTTAAAGACGGGTTCTCTCACCACAACTTTTGAGAGTAGATTTGAGAGGGGGGCAGAATGGACACCCCCTACACCACCCCGCAACATACCCGGCACACCACTCCGAAAGCATTCTGTGTTCTGCTGAATCCACCAGCTTCACAGACCCTGATTAATCCCAGCACAGAGGTCTTCAAAGCCATGTCTGGGTCAAAACCTCCTCTTCCTCAACCTCACTTCCCCTAAGCTCTGAATAAATCTCGTGATCTGGATGGCTGAGGCCAGTTCAGGTTCTGTTGGGGCCTGAGGAATGCTTGGGGTTCAGTGAGTGTTGGAAGCCGTGGGGGCTGGGAACCCCGGGGAGAGATGGAGGGCCAGCCTCTGGGCCAATCATGATTATCAGTCTTCATTCACCATCTGGCTGTCTCCCATCTAATTGCCATGCCTCAAAAATCCCCACCGCTGCTCCCTGAGATGACAAATCAGAGCCAAGATCTTGTCTCCCAGCCTGCCCCAAACTCACTTCCCCATCTTCTCCAGACACTCTGGCCTCCTGTTGCTACTCGCCACTGACTCGCTCGCTCAAGCCCTCTGTCGCCACGTTCCTCATCCACCTTTGAGCTCTTTCCCAGTTGTACTGCCCACCGAGACACATGCACTTACTCTTTTCATCACACCGTGTAAGTAACGGCTGCTGCCTATTATTATAGTTAGTGGCTTCTGTGGCTATTCATGTGGTTGTCCATCTCAGGTTGGATCTCAGGTTGGTCTCCAGCCAACACACTCTCTGCAGGTCCCAAGACAGACCCTCGCGAATGCCATGTGCTTATACGTAATGCTGCTGCATCTTGCCACTGTTCAAATTCCCAGGTCAAAGTTTGGATGTGGCTTCCCTTAGCCCACCATCACTTTCACTGAACACTGACACGAGGGATCCTGACATGGTCCCTAGATAATGGTCAGTGGCTTCTTTAGCACGAGTGTCACTAGAAAGTGGAGGTCATGTCCAGGAGTGTGAAGGGCGGGCCCACGGCTCAGGCAAGGAGGAAGAAAAAAAATGGAGGGAAATCGCAGCAGGAAAAACCGTAGACAAACACAAGAGGGCGGAGAGGAATGCTGATGTCAGAGGAAAGGTGAGCAGGAGTGTCTGTCGGAACTCAGAGGTCCAGAATGTTTAGAAAGAGTTGGGAAACGTTGCCAGATCCTTTGAGGGAATCTGCAGGACAAAGATAAGGGTACAGAACCCAGGGAATGAGAGGCTGGCAAATAATGCCCATGGGTGGAAGGGGAAGGGGAGGAGTAGAGAAGGTGACTGCCCTTGAGTGGGTGCCTATGGCACTAGCTGGATTCCGTGACTGGAAAAATCAGGTGGGGAACTCGACAGGCTGTTCCATTGTCTCATCATCTCAGCAGCTGGGGGAACAATAGCCAGTCCCCTCCTGTGTCCACCGAAGTCCTGCTGAATAATTCATTCAACAAATTTTGTGTAGGAAGAAAAAAAAGAAACAAACACAGAACTCTACCCTAATAGAGCCTAGGACCTT